GTGGGAAGAACTATATTTGATTTTTAACTGTGACATAAAGTGATGAGGAAATTTCATTGATTATCTTGATTTCATGATGAAACATATGTCTAACAGGATGTATTTCTCCCTATAAATGACATAGAAATTCTGTATAACCCAGCATGATTGGTGACCTACCCTTCAAACCCCCTATTTTTAATTATACCATGAAATTTTCCTTCTCTCTTTTTAAAAAGAATCTTTTCAATTTCTATCTCTCAAAAGACAAAAATTTCTGGCTAAGAATATACTGTTTATTCTTTCCCACAATGTTCTTCCAGTTATATTTGAATCTTATCTTAATTTTAGTTTGCCATGTGAGCAAAGCAGCAGTCTATTATGTGTTCACAAAGCCAAGTCAGTGTGTAATTATGTAATACACATGTGCTTCAAGTATCTCCAAACAATTCAAATGTTCCTAAATCCAGCTGTGTAGTACAGTACTGACTTTGTTTCCTGTTGTCCTTCAGATTCTGAGGGTAGATCAGTAGCAGTTTGATTCCTTGTCTGTTACTGTGTTTTACCCAGACTAGAGCATAAGGTTGAAGTTCTGAGATATTTGGCCGCGTTTTTATATGAAGTGGAGTCTGATGGGAGGTTTGCTGTGTAACTTGAGGCTTACATCTTGCTTTCGTTAGAGTAGATATTTTGAATTATTTTATGTTACTAAGAGTTACTGTAAATCAAGCTCTAGTTACTAGCCACCACCTGTCATTGCAAAGAAAGGAAGGGACAGCCCCACTGTAATAATGGTACAGACTTAATTAAGAGAGTGGGTGAGATGAACCTCTGTACTGCAACTTTATTTTCTTTAGAGGTGGGAAAGAATGTCAGAGAGAAAAGGCTGAAGTTTGGAGAACCCAGTGTGAGTTTGAGTTTTCAGCAGTAGGTTCTAGAAGAGATGGTGTGGATCCAGCTATAGGGCATACCCACCACCTACCCATGGGTCCAAAAGCCTTATTTAAGCTTAAACCTGGCCCTTCAATCCTGGCCTGAGCTGTGTCACAGATGATGTACCTGTTCCCAGTCCTGTTCATGAATTATTGTTTGTATTTCCCAGTTTGACCTTGGATCTGACTTATTGCCTTGCTTTTGCCTGACAATGACTGGACCGTTGACAGGACCTGTTGTCATCATCCACCTTGGGTGCTGTGGGACTGTGCCCTGTGGGTGAGCTCACTGCCCAGCCAGTGTTGTGGTTGTCCTTGGCTCCCCCCTCAGCCTTCTCTTAGGGAGCAGTCCAGCTCTTACTGCTCCACCCCACTGTCCTTCAGTCTTTTACTGATTTTTATGGTGTCAATAATAAGAACGCTCCAATGACGAAAGTCATCATTCTGGGTGTTAGAATCATCCTCAGAAATGGATATGGTCCATTCTGATATGTAAAGGAGGATGGTGAGGGGAAGCATACAACTTTGTTCGAGTAACTGTCAAATTTATATGTAGACCCTGCATCTGTTGGATGGTGGTGGAGATATTAACAGTGGATTCTTATTTTGACTTTGTTCTGAGATAAATATTAATAATGAAATGCCAGTTTGTATTTTAGCAATATGTAAAGATCTCTTTTGAATGGCTTTATCTTCTAGTGATTTTTTTTAAGGAACAAGCACTGAACAACAGTACTCAGGTAGTTGACTTTCTTCTTAGAAAACTGAATTCATAGTGTTTAGAGGAAAAGTTACTGTCCATTCTGCAACAATTATTTCCAGAACAGTAAGCTACTGGTGAGTTGGATCTAAGATTGATATCTGCTGCTTCCTTAAGGTAAACATACACTTAATTTAGGAATGTACTATTCTCAGAGCTTGGCAAGTAACAAGGAATTATCACAGTAAGAACACTGATTGCCTTTCATTTAAAAAAAACAACGAAACAAACCTCTAGGTTATTATCCAACTCCCCTACGATTATCAGGCTGAGATCTTACAAAAGAGCTATTGATGTAACCCTCATAAAGAGTATGTCCAAACCACCTTTGAAATATGTGTGAAAAGCAGTTCAAAATATACTGGTGAGCATTACAAGAAAAAAGGCAGGTGGCATTTACAGGAAACAGTCATTCCGAATTATGCAAGAGAGTTACTGAAACCAATTGCAGTGATACGTTTAAATTGTTTAGAGGAGAGGAGGGTAGGAATCCTGAGATCTGAACATATGTTAAATGTTAGAAGTGAGACTTTCAATTTCATGTAACCTATATTTAGTGTGAACAGATGGGATTTTTGTTTCCTAATTCTGTGAGTTGCCTTTAAGAATTCCATCCTAGAGTGAGTCCAAGATACTTTTTTTTTTTTTTTTTTAATGTGACTTAGTCAAATATTAGAAAGGACTGGAGATCCAAGGATATGCTTTTCTCTTTCTTTAAGAATTTCATAGACCAATAAAAATAGCAAATAATTTATGCTATGCATGTGCAACTTTCTTCTGTAAACATAATGAAAAAATATAGAAAATAAATAATGAAAACTGCTGGATTGCCAGCGAATGAAGATGATAGACTTGACTTTTTCTGTTTCTTTTAAAAGACAGCATACTAACAAAGCAAACTAACAAAGCATTGTTGATACATCATGGCAAATATTAATATATACTCATTGAAAACTGTTCTCCACTTTTTGCATTCTCCTGCTTGTAGTTATTAGTGAGATTTTCTGAAAGGAGGAACTCTGTTTTCGAAATCATATGACAAATATATCCTGAAACTTTTATATATGAGGAATTTTCCAGCACTGCCAGCTGCTGATGTAATTTCGTAAATGTACTTAGTTTTGCTTGTGATATCAGAATGGGTTGCTGTGGAAGTTAATTTTCAATCTCACCCTAGTTCTGGAAAGAAATAGATAGAAGAATAACTTAGAAATATAGATCCAATTTTTTCCTTATTTTTGTCACTGCTTATCAGATACCAGTATGTTGCTCATATAAGTTTAAACAACACTGGTGTATAATGCTGCAAAGGAGCATGTCCTATGATGTCAATAATACACAATTAGGCAGCATTCTGTAAAAAACAAAAAAAAAACAAAAAAAATCCCCCCCCCCCCCAAAAAAAAAAAAAAAAAAAACAAAATAGGGGCCATTTTGTAAAAAAAAAAAAAAAAAAAAAAAAAACCCCCCCCCCCCCAAAAAAAAAAAAAACCAAAACCAAACCCCACAACTATTAGGTGATCAGAAGACAGGCTTATGTTTCACCAGGTAAGATAAGCACATCCACTATTTTGACTACAGTTTCTGAGAACTTCAATAGTTGGAATTCGGGTTGCAATCTCAATAGAGGCTTGACTTAATTGGCTTTAATAATCTTTGGCCAGGCACTAAGCACCACAGATTTTGGCTATACCAAGTGACTTGGCACACTGAATTGGAGATGATGCACATGTGTGTGAACAAAATACTTCAGTTTGAATAAAACTGAGCAATGCTCAAACAATGTGACTCTTCCAGTTCTTCAGACTCTACATGGAACCTAATTCACACTGAATGTAATCAGTTACAGTTCAGTGTTAGCTAATCTTCAACTGAATTCAATAAATCAGCCCGGACAGGGAGAGATTAGGCGAGTCAGAAACATGCACTGTGATGTTTGCTTTTGTAGTCTTTTTGAGAGGTCAGATAATGGAAACATCAATTAAAAGCAGGATAAACATCAGGCTTCTTCCAGTGCAATAGCCTTTTCCTTTCTTAAATGGGAGTGTGAATTTAGCTTTAGAGCAAGCTGCCAAATCGTTGCTTATGTTTATATCCAATATATCACAGACATGGCCAGTGAAACCGTCAATGTTCAAACTTGTTTTATAGAACGCAGAGTGTAGATTTTGAGTGAAAACATCAATCTTGCTTTACAGAAAGCAGTGTTTTTTTCAACCTCATTCACTTTCCAGTGTTTGTTCCAATTATATCAGCATGACTTCATTCAGAATGAAAGTTGGTTGTGATGCACGTATGTGTGAACAAAATATTTCAATTTGAATAAAACTGAGCAAACCTCAATGTGCCACTTCCAGTTCCTCAGACTCTAAATGGAACCTAAGTGTGCTATCTCCCAAGTGTCTTTGTCAACAATGATAATTTCTTCTGTGGAGTGAAACTACAATATTTATCCATTGACCTTCATTATCCAGGCTGTTTCATGTAAATACCCTTTTTTCCTCCACTGCCTTGTAATCCAATAGACTTGGTAAATACCTTGGTTTCATCTTGCTCAGATGTGGTTTTGTTGTGTGTATCTTTTTTCAGGGCGAGGGGGATATTTTTGTTCCTAGCCTTGTTTTATAGGCCCCAAACAATGGTTCCTCCAGTAGTCAGAGGTACCATCACTGAGGCTGTTGTTTAGCAAGTAAAGTATATGCTGAATCAGAATGTCTGTTGAAAAGTGGTTTGTCCTCAAAACTAGAAAATAGGTTGGCTGTTCTGATTCTAAGGGCCTGTAGTCTTGGGCTTGCGGAGGAAAGAGAAATACCTGAGGGGCTTTATGGGGTTGTGTTCTGCTCCACAACAGATGCAGTCATTTGGCTGTAGCTCAGAAAATTTATAGGCATCTTATTAGAAAAGAGCCAAAACGCAACACTCTCTGGTAGTTGATGGTGATTTCTTACATTGTTTTTGATACTGCACAATTATTATGCAAGAAGGCATAGCCAGCTGCGAGACAGATGGAGCCGCATATGTTTCCACACCCAAGAGGGAGGTTTGTGTACAGAGCTACAGTCAGGAATAAGGCTGAGTGAATGATACCAAAGGTTATTCATACAGAGATGTCTGGATTTGTAGATAAATTCACTTGGATTGTACGGGTGATTGGCTGTTTTTGTGTTAACTTTCTGACTATAATAGATGTTTTTTCTTGCATTGAAATCTATAAAGCAGTAAATAGTGAAGAAGTACTTGGAGATTATTCCGGTCAGAAGTCTGAATTCAAGAATATTGTGTGAGTTGTACATGTGGTCTCTTTCCCAAACTGGGGGTGGCTGTGCTACCTTCCTCCTTCTCTCCAAAACCAATGGCACCTTGCCACCACCACCACCACGAAAAGTCTAGTGGGAAAAGAGATGCCACGTTCTTTTCCTCTTTCACTTGCTGCAGCACCGAAAAGCTCTGCAAAATGAGAGCTGCTGCCATGATTCAGGATCAGCTGAATGCGAGGATGAATTCGTTCTTTATTTGTGGGGCCTTCTTTTCTCTCCTAAATCAATCAGAGCACAGAAGAGTTGCAGAGGCAGAAAAGCAGAGAATGGTCACCAGCCAGGCTCCTGCTTGCTTGCTGTAGTCTCAAGCAGAGGGAAGAAAGTTTATTCAGCAGTGCTCTGATTCCAGTCAGCAGTACCCTTGGGCACTGGTCAGGGCTATAAGCAGGCAAATCAGGAAGTGCCAGTATTACCCAGGACAGCTAGAGTACGTGCCACCTCATGCCCAACATGTGTAAAAGGAGTGCTGTCTTCAGTGTGAGTTAGATAAAGTAGATTTTTTTTAAAGTAAATGTTCAGATTGTTATTTTCTGTTATAACTTCCTCCTTTAATCTTTCACCTTTTTGGAGACAATGCAACTAAAAAGATTTGTCCATGTTTCAGCCTTATTAACAACCTCTTATGCCAACATAAAATTAGAACAGTGTTGTGGAGAACTGAGCTCTGAGAGTGCATACAGCTAGGAACGGTCGAGGGCTGAGTGAATGCACCAAAGGTAATTTGCAGATAGATATCTGGATCTTCCTAACAAATCCCCCTCCCCTGTTACAGTCAGTCTAAGGTACCAACCTGCTACTACTTCTTTTTGTAAGTAAGAGAAATCACTGCTGAGATTAAAGCAAGCACAGAGAATAGTAGATGAGGGCGAAGACAGTAAAGTTTACAAAGCCAAATGTTGTCAGTAATTGTAATAGTAAAGCTTCCATTCCTAGGCCATTCAGTCATTTCCAAAGTGACTTTTAAAAAGAATATAACATTTGAGGACAGATGTTTTATATTTTTTCTAAATCATCCTGGAACAATCACGTGCATATGATCTATAATTTGTTTTTATTTCTCTATTATGTATCACACGCACTTCCTTGAAGAGATGTTAGTCTTTAGAAATGCTAGATATATTCCAATGTCCAGCTCCAATTCAAGCTGAAATCGAAGAGCTGCAGATAACTAGCACTGCTAAAAAGCAGGCCATATTGTCTTGGCTAAGACTAGTCTGCAAGGGATAAATATTAATGGTATCAGCAAAAGTAATTCTTGAAAGCAGGGATCCTACAGGCTGAGGGATTCTGCTTGTATTGTAGAGCATCTTCGAGAAAACTTGCTGGTTAGATAAGAGGTTGAAAATGATTTGAGGTGGGCTGTAACTATTAGCATACCTAGCCTATTAGTGAGTCACTGTTGAAAAGTGGAGGCACAATTCAGGAAGATGAATTAGGTAATGGTGTCCCAGTTTAGCTGTGCACTTTCTTCCAGCCACAGCCCTACTAGAAACAACAACCAACGAACAAATACGAGAATACAGATTCTGCTATGTGACATTACACACTGGGTGTGTTAGATGATTTGGGAGGTGTGGGGGTCCGTCCTTCTATTGCAGTGTTGCCCTAGAGAACCAGCCAGCTAGACTGTGGTTTTTTTCACTATATCCTGTAACATGACTTATTAAGTACTTCTGAGGATAAGAGCCCAGACATAATGCTACATTACCCCTGTGGTAGATTAGCTCACTTGATTTCTAATCAGGATGTGTTCAGCACTGTTTAAATTGCCTAATATTAGATAGACACTTTACTACAAGTTCTCTAGATACATGAAGTTCTGCCTACTTCAGGAAGAGCTGGTAGAAAGGTACTTACGCAAAAGATATGATTCCCTTTATTCCAGCCTGTAACAGGAAAGAATAGGAAGCCAAACACCTGATATTTTGGCACCTATCTCTATTCTTGCTTTCTACCCTTTTGGCTTCTCTTTTGTTACTGCTGTGGTCCCACGGTGACAGTAGGAGCTGGAAGAGCTGTCATATTTGTTCCCACTTGGCCTTCCTGGTAGCTGAGCTCAGTAGCTGTTGCACCAGCAGCAAGTCCCCCTGCCCAGAAGAAGGGGAAAGGCAGAGCAACTAGAGCTACCAGATGCAGAGTAAGAAATATCGTCAAAATACCGAGCAATATATTTCAGCCTAAATGTATTGCAATAGATTTGCCACAACGTCATGGGAGTTTTTAATTGTGCTTAAGGATGTAGTTGAATTCAAGCAACTTGGAGATTTGCAGTCAGCAGTTACGTCATCTGTAGTACTTTTTGAATGGTTCAACAGAAATATGTTTCAGAACTACACTCTAAAGGCCAACTAAGTGATCAAACTTCATTGGGGCAGTGGGAGAAACTTGCTCTTTACTTTGGAAATTACTCTGTCCTTTTGTGAGTGTGCAGACACTGACAGCAGAGAATGCCAGTAACACCAATGTAGCATGCTCCTATGTAACACCTCTCCAGAGAATGGCTGCTTAGTTTGTCGCCACCCACAGTTTCCAATATGTGCACTATTACCCCACATAAAGCATGAGATAGCTCTCCAGTTTTTAATCACAGATAACTAGGGTGTGCCTCCATCGTGACTGAGCTGAACCTTAGCCACCTTTCTGCCTGTCCTAACATGTGCTGGTGAGATGCTGAACTGTCCGGCTAGAGGGACCTACATGAAACTGATGTTGGCACTGCCACAAAAATCTTGCTCGGCAACTTAACCCCAGGGTCTTTAAAAGCAGCAGTGCCATCAGACAAGTGTGATGGCATTCACCAGAATTAGTCAAGTCAGTAACACCATTAAAGGTGAAGTATTCAAGGCTGATGAGAGGCTTTCAAATCACCACCAGAATGTCCAGTTATTAGTCTTCAGTTACTGAGGGCGTGTTCAAGAAACACGGCCAAAATGGCCTTTTTAAAATACTATGGTAGCATTTTGTTGTGGGCATCAGGGAATGCCTACAGAGGTAAAGCTTACTTCAGACGAGCAGGTTGGAATGATCTTGCTAGTGCTGTCAAATATTTAAGATACTTCAGAAGGAAATGAATGGTAACCTTTGGGATAATTAAATTATCACCCAAAAATGCATTTGGCATTTGTATATGAAATATACATTTGGCAAAGTATGTGAAATACTTACCATGCCATAGTGCAGGTCAGCTGAGCCACCTACTACAAGACCAGTTCTGCTGGACAAGACTTTGTGTCTGGTATTGCTGAAAGCTTCTTGCTCCTATAGGAACCACAGTGCAGGAAATTAAAAAGTTATAGCTGGTTCAAGACAGACTGCAGTGGCTTTCATAACCATTTCGTATCATTTTCAGAAGCTGTAACATTAAAAAAAAGAGAACATGATACTGAGTATTAGATGTTATGCAGGGAGTCTAACCAGTTAACTTTCCAGAAAAGGAAAGAAGTTACTAAATCTTATACAAGGGGAGAAGGACAGCTTTTAGGAGGTTCTAAATTTACAGAAAATTCAGGGAGAAGTAGGACAGCTAAGATCAGGCCTGACACTGCCTGTCCTCCTTCCTTGCATTTACTCTCAGATAAAACCAGATGGATTCAAAAAAGTGATTCAGTGCTGAGTGCTCCCATGACCTGGAACTGGAGCAGTTATAACTGACAACAGTTCCCTTTCTTGTATTTGCCTTGATAAGCAAAATCCTTTTCCTTTCAGTGATGTTTTCAACTTAATCTAGGCATGTTGCTCTCATCAATATCAGTGACTGTCTGCTGGAGCCCTTTGGACTCTGCACCACTCCTATTCACATGATGCTCTCACATTCCTCCTGGAGGCAAAAATGCATGCTCATGCTGCTAGAGAGTGGAAACTTACTGATTGTACAGAGGTTAGCAAAAGCTCTTGTTCCAGCCTCCTGGCAGGAGCAAAGAGACAGGCTGCAGTTTGTAAGTGCTAAGCCAGTAAAAGCCTTCCTGTCTCTGCACTGATGTTTCTTCTCTTCCTGTCTGTCCCTTCCTCCAAACTCAAGCCAAGTATGCAAAGCAAGAAGGCTTCTTGTTCCTCTGCCTAGTCAGTGATGGAGGCAAGGTTTGGAGCAAACGGAGTCTCGTTGTAATAACATTTCTGTTAAAGCCCCGCAAGTGGAAATGCCTACAGCAAGTGCACAGATTATGTTTAATGTCTGACACATCCATTTATATTAACATATTATAGCAGAAGATGGAACTGTTCCTGCAGAGTCCCCAAATGAATTAGCAGCACAAACTGGCTTTCTAGTGCTTGGAGCTCTGTCCACACTCCTTGTTTTAACTCTATGCTAGCCACAGTCCAGACCGTGGAGAAAACTGCAGTGAAACTGTGAAGTGGCTGCTCTCTACTGTTACAGTTCAATAACTGCATGAACTTTTGTTTTTATTGTGATATTAATTTACTTAAGTTATCGTCTGTAGTGGAAGTAGATACCTGCATATGGCAAAACCAGTATCAGTGTGTGGCTATATTGGAAGAGAATAGCTCAGCGCATAGGATATTTTTCCTGTTTTCCTTTTTAAAATATTCCTACGAGTAAGCTTATTCCTACTAGTAAGCTGTAAGAAAGTGGTTCAAACACACTTGCTGACCCCAAAGCCATAACTATGCAGATGCTTTTGGGGAAAGTTTGGTGAGTTATTCCTGAAGATTCAGAGCAGATTCAGCCAATTTCTACCTTTCCTTCAATCGCTTGATGCTCTTTTCATAAAGTCCTATAAACCATGCATTTTGAATGAGACATACTATGGGCACTTACGTAGTCGGACATGCACATTGATCAGCATTAAAGGTATGTCTCCAAACTCTCATCAAAATATACAAGACTTGCTTTTCAACTAGGTTGTGATAACCTTTTATTTTTGCAGGCGTGCATTTGCATCCAGTATGCCTGAATTTATGATATATATAAACCTAGCAGAACAAAGCCTAAGTGTAACTGTGCTATTAAAACTGCCAGTCTGATATTTGGAAATTTAAATCTAAAAGTAGATATTCTTATTATAATTCTTACAGGATAGTAAGGAATAGTAAAGAGCTAAGTCCGAGTTTGGCTAAGTTGTAGTGCAGTACTGAATGTAAATACACTGTCAATAAATCTCTGACAGGTATGAACGCCAAGGGACAGGAGGATTA